AATTCTGTACTTTCAAGGTTTACTTTTGAACATTAGGTGTCATAGACTCAGATTCTCTGAATATTGTCAAATTTGCTGAGGAGTTTTATTGGGGGGGGAGAAATAAACTTAGACACTCAATAGATTCAAAAATAGTACTTTTAATAGCCGAACCCCGTGATGAGAATAGCTACTCAGGAAAACAGAAATTTGACTTGATTTCTTCCTCAGCAAAACAGCATCTGAACTCTCTCTGCCCCTTCTCTGACAAGGATTTAATGAGGCATTCAGGTTTCTGAAGGCCCAGCTGGAGCACAAGCTCATCTGTGCTTACACTGCGAGACCAACTGGTTTTAGTTGGTACAATATCATCCAGGAGGTAAGTAATACAGCCAGTGGAGATGCCAAAAGAGACGTAAAGGAGGAGGATAGGCAGGGCAGAGGTACCTAAACAACAGCTAGAGATGTACTGGGCATGAGGTGAACTTGCAAGACAACACAGCTTTTGGCAAGAGACGTAGGATTAAGGTGGCAGTGGGTGAAAGAGAAAGCTCAGGTCTAAAAGGCTTTGCGTGATCTGAGAAATAAGTGGAAAGATATTAGGGCAGATACAGAGATGGGAGCATTTGGGTCTCCGGTTCGATGAAATCCTCCCCCAGGTGGAGATGGGATCCCTGGTGTGGAGGCAGGGGCACGAACACGGTTTCCCAACCCTTGCATGGAACTGCCATTTTAGGGATATCAGAAATATGGCATTCCTAAGATTTGCACTTGACTTTCCTTTCCCTGCATAACTCTATAAAAACCTGGTGAGGAGCAGGCTCCCCTCTTGCCCCTAATTTCTTCTCTCTCACTGGAGGCGCAGGGTTGTTTCTCAGTTTCTTTTGCAGGTCAGGGGTAGGACTCAGTACTGCTCCCTTGGCCACGCTAGCACCAGGCAGAGAAAAAGTAGTGGTGATACCTTCTCATACCCTCCGCCCCATTATCATTGAGCCCTCTCAATTGCCCTCAGCTTGCCCAGTGTCCTCCTTTCACCCCAGTCTGCTCCACAGCCTATATCCATCCTTCCAAGACACCAGCCTCTCACGGCAAACCACCGGCAGCCCCATACCACAGCCCCATACCACAGCCCCAAAGCCCCTCTCTGCCTGAGGGGGACCACCACCTCTGTCCCACGACACCTATTCCCCACCATCACCGCTTCTTTCCCCTCATGGGTACCCTGGGGAGCAGGCAGACAAGGGGATGGTGTTGGGACTGGAGGAGGGCTTCGAGGCAGCAGCCCTGGGATACTTTTCGAAGGGTTCTCAGCCCTTCACTTCCATACTCCTCTGGGATGCGACTGATACAAGATTCCCCACTTTGCTGTCACACTAACACGTTTGTTCAGCTCCCTTTCCCCCCTCTTCTTTCCGTCCCCCCGGCACTCTGTGGCTCTAGCTCATCCCACCTGACAAAACAGCGGAAGCCTTGCTCACCAATTCCCGCAGCCTCGGCGGGTCCTCACATTCACAGCCTCGGGCGCTCGGACCCTGCGTCTCCCCGAAGCGCTCCTCAGGACCACCTCAGCCTGTCGGGCCGGTCCAGCCCTGCCCAGCCACCGGAGGGCCGCCTGCAGCGAGCGAGGCGCAGCGGGGCCGTGAAGGGCAGCGTGGAGGCGGCGGAGTGCGGCCGCTTCTCCTCTCCCCTCGCCGGCTGCGTCAGAGAGCAGCAGCGCCGCTTAGTTTTCATTTCCCGCCCGGCAGAGCGCAGGAACAGAAAGTGAAACTCGCTCAGCAGTGGCCCAGCCCTGGGCAGTCCGGCCCGATGCGGTGGGGCGAGGCGGGATGGAAGAAAGGCGCCCGGGAGACCATAGCCCTCCCTGCACAGGGGCTGCTCACCGCGGCCCAGTCTGCCGATGTCCTGACCCTCTCCGACACCTCGGCCTGGTTCAGTCTGGTTTGTTCTAGGCACTTGGGTTGGAAGGGACCTTCAAGATCACCTAGTTCCGACCCCCCTGCCATGGGCAGAGAAGTTGACCTCTGCAAGAAAAAGCCCTCTTCTTCAGCAGAGGCAGTACCTCAGGAGGTGTGTTCTGCCTGGACTTAGCATGGCTGCTCATTACCTCCCAAAAGCAGATGCATCTTGGGCCAGGCGTTTGTTGGGTTTAGCCACAAAAGCAATAGAAAAGCCGAACTCTTGTCAAGGCCTACCATAGCCTACTCAGAAGCAAGAAATAGCTCATTTAAAATGACCCCAAACAAGTAACTCACTGAGAAACTTAACCCAGGTGGCCAGCTGAAAGCCTCGGCAGTTTTCCTGTCTGATGGTGGGCTGCGGTGTGCAGTGGGATATACAGATGGCGGCACAGTGGTAAGGACCAACTCCAACACTAACCCAAGCTGTGGAATTTCAGGCCTCAATAAGTCACTGATGTCTGGATGATGCCTGTCCACTGATGCTTGGGTGGACACTTCTCCAGTGTGTATGTTAGGTTTCCAGGCTTTCCCTTTCACCCTGCGTATCTGCAGGAGGAATAAAGGGCTGCAGAGCCCCATAAGGAAGCTTTGCTACTCAAAGGATGGCCACTGGTCCAGCTTTGCTCCTCTTGAGGTGGGATAGTTTGAAGGTGAGTGGTGCTTCCCCACAGAGCTCTCTCTGCTGACTCTGGAAATGATGCAGGTGATGCAGGGAGTCCTGCTATGTGTGTGAAATAGATCAAGTCTTTGGGACCCCAGGAGGGAGAGCCCCTGTGTGATTTTGCAGGGCACACTTGACTACCCTCTATAGAGGAGCTCCAGCAGGGTCACAGATGCCATGTCCTTCCCTTGCCACCAGATTGTCCCCAGGGCAGGCTCAAACCCTAATCCCTTCCTGTCTCTGCCTGTAGGGTGTAGGTGTTGCCCCCTTCCACAGGCTGTGCAGAGCTCCTGATGGCTTCTGTCTTCCTTTATTTGCTCCCTAGAAGGTCACTGGTGTCTTGGAGGACCCCTTTGCCCCTCAGAAAAGCCCTATCAGTGAGCTGCTTACATGAATTCATATGTGGTATGCAGAAGCCTTCAGCTGTTGTTTCACTAAGTTACCAAATTCAGATTCAAATGAGAACCTGCTCATACAACCTTGCTCTGTTGGAGGCAGCACCACTGCTTGGCAGTTAGAGGTCTTCAGCCAAGGCAGCAGTGGCAGTGAAAAGCTTCCTGAATTGTCACAGGGGTGGGTATGGATATCTATAGGGGCTTGTGAGAAGGGCACAAATAACTCAGCATCTTTGCTGTGATTCTGGCAGAGCCTCTTGTCAATGGGTTAAATTTAGCAGTGTTCCCTTCCTATTGCTAGCTTGTGTGGCATCTGCTTCATAGAAGGGAGGAAGAGAGATAGAAGAACTGCTAAGCCATAAGTTGCCTAGAGACAGTCTAACCACCTGAGCAAAGAGCAAACCAACACTGGAGACTGAACAGAAGCTAGGTCTGAAAGTTCTGTGGAAACTAGTGAAGTAGTGTGCAGCTGAAGTGGCTTTTGGTAATAACCCTTGTGAGGGCTTGGATGCTCAATTAAGAGGAGCATTTGTCTCAAGAATATTTAAGCTTTGCATGTTGAAGTTACTCAGACACCCCACTTCCAAAACAGGTAGCAGGCAGAAGTCTGAGCACAGAAAGTGTGCTCAGATGAAGGGATGGCTAAACATGAAAGATGCTGTGTTCTGGTCTCCAAATACACTGCTGGCTGGTCATTGCAGAGTAGAGTCACTATAACAAAAGCTGCTAGCTCCTAATAATTGCCCTGGCACTTCTAATGTCCAGAATGCACTGACTATTGTGAAAGCAGAGATTCCTGAGTGTCCTTGCAAATAAAATAAACCACAACACTGATGATCAGATGAGATTTTAAAAGCTTTCAGGAAATTAGGAAGTGCACACCCAGTGTTTTAGGATGCTTACAGTACTCCACACTGGATCAACAACTTCCACTTCACTGCATTGCTTTCAGCAGTTTTTCACAGAACAGACCAAGCAATTCATCTGCCATGTTTAATCACGGGGTTTTGTCTTTATCTCGTTGCCTATTTCTCCTCTCTTACGGGAAGAACAGGGTCACTTCTCAGTTTGAACACATACATGTGTGTCATGTATGAATTTCCTGTTTCTGGTTTGGGGCCTAATTCAGAACAGAACTGTGAGGGAAGCAAAAAAGAAGTCTAAATTCCACTAGGCTGAGTAATACTTATTCATGTTTCTTCAGTTTAGGTACATAATCAAGCATGTCCTAAATAGGATGTTTTCCTAAACAGAGCCATTTCTGCTACTCCATAACTTCATAGTTTAGTAATTTACTGATCTGGTTAATTAAATGGGGTACACCTCTAGTTAATGGCCTCCAACTAGATCTGATGCCACTGATTACCACACTCTGGGCCCAGCCATTCAGCCAGTTTTCAGTCCAACTCACTATGCTCACCCAGCCCATACTATGAGGATCTTACAGGCAACAGTGTCGAAAGCCTTATTCAAGTCTAGGTAGACAATATCATAGAATCATAGAATCACAGAATAGTTAGGGTTGGAAAGGACCTGAAGATCATCTAGTTCCAACCCCCCTGCCATGGGCAGGGACACCTCATACTACACCATGCCACCCAAGGCTTCATCCAACCTGGTTTTGAACACTGCCAGGGATGGAGCATTCACAACCTCCCTGGGCAACCCATTCCAGTGCCTCACCACCCTACCAGGAAAGAATTTCCTCCTTATATCCAATCTAAACTTCCCCTGTTTAAGTTTTAATCCATTAGCCCTTGTCCTATCACTACAGTCCCTAATGAAGAGTCCCTCCCCAGCATCAGCATCCCTATAAGCCCCCTTCAGATACCGGAAGGCTGCTATGGGGTTTTCCTCTAGTTTGTCAGGCCAGTTGTTTCATCATAAAAGGTCATCAAGTCAGTAAAGCATGACTTCTTGTTGGTGAATCCCTTATGAGTACTCCTGACAGTTTTCTTCTTGTTCATGTGCCTAAAAATCATTTAGGGATTGTAATGAGGCTGACCAGCCTGTAGCTCCCTGCATCTTCCTTCTTGTCCTTTTTGAAGACAGGAGTGGCATTTGCTTTCCACCAGTCTTTGGCCACTTCTCCCAGTCACCATGATCATCAAACATTATCACGAGTGGCCTTGCAATGACATTAGCCAGCTGCCTCAGCTCTCATGGGTGCAACCCATCAGGGACCCTCAATAAAAAGTAGCTGAAAGGTTTCCTAGTCAAGAATTGACATTGCCTAGTAAGACATGAATCCTATAGATTTGAGATCTTGGATCACAACTTTGAATTATCTTTGAGTGAACGTTCAAATGCCCATATTGCAGACTCACTTGCACATGGTGCACTAAATAAAGATTGCCACAGATGGCACAGTGATCTGCTGGTTAAAGCAGATGTTGTTTCTTGCAGAGGAGGAACTATGCAAGTAGAGTAAGGAATACTGAAATGTTTTCAGGAGGTACGATGCAAAAAATAAAAGTTTAGGTTTTATTGTTTTGTTGTCTTTTTTTAAGGGGGAAAAGCTTCTCATTTAAACAGTTTGAATTGTAGTGGTTTTAGTATGTGCATTAGAGCTTAAACAGGCTTACATTAAATGTGCAAGGAAGAAGAGTGAGTCTTTTTGCGTTGCTGGGAGTGGTGAGGCATTACTGCAGCTGATCCTATCTTACAGGACAACTTACCTGTGATTTATGGAATAAAAGGTGTCTCTATGTGACCCCTCTTAAATTTCTGTATATTACATACAAAAAAATATGACCTAATGGTAGACACATGCAATACAGTGATACAGAGACAATTCTCTGCTCACTAGAAACAAGGTGTATTTTAAAACTACTCCCCATCATTTTCTTCTTCAAATGAGTCAGTTCCCACTTCCTCATAGTCCTTCTCCAGGGCAGCCAGATCCTCTCGGGCCTCTGCAAATTCTCCCTCCTCCATGCCTTCACCCACATACCAGTGCACAAAAGCTCTCTTGGCATACATCAGATCAAACTTGTGGTCGAGCCTGGCCCAAGCCTCTGCAATGGCCGTGGTGTTGCTTAGCATGCAGACTGCTCGCTGAACTTGGGCTAGGTCGCCACCAGGAACTACAGTAGGAGGCTGATAGTTGATCCCAACCTGGAAACAGGAATATGAAAGAAGGTTGTGAAAAGGCAAGAGCCGTCAAAAGCAGTCAAACAGCTGAAAAAATGTGAGTAAAGTTACAGATGCTGGCATAGAGTAGTGCCACTATCAAAACTACTAGACTGCATATTCCATAAGAAATAATAATATCATAAACAATATGACATATGGTGTAAGAGACTGTGTCAGTGAAAACACCACCACCACAACAGGATGTCTGGCTCAACATTGGTATGGCAGGAAGACTGACATTGCCAATACCACTGCCACAGCAGGATGTCTGTCCTCGCATTTCTGTGGCAGGAAAACTACATTGCCAATAGCACCATCACAGCAGGACGTTTGTGAAGGGTATCTGTCTCAACATTGCTCTCCAGTTGACACTTCGGTGCAGGGTGTTTGCCTTAACATTGCTGCATCACGGAACCACGAGGGGAGAAGACCCCCTAGTGACAGTATTGGGCATGAGCACCACCGCAGAGTGGAGGATGTGTTACAACTCTATAAAAGAATGGCATCAACCAGCATAGGAAAGAAATATCTTCCACCACCAAACTTGGAACTAATCAGACTGTTGGGACATTGCAGCTCTGGGATGGTAGCTATTGCTATGAACTCTTTTATTCTTTCCTCTTACTTTCCTTCTTTTCTCTCTCTCTCTTTTTCTCTCTGGAATTTGTTGGTGGGCAAATAAAATTCCTTGACTCTTGGCTCCTTTTTAAGTCTTAATTCTGTTCCCGAGAATACGAGCAAAACCATGCTCCGGCCTTTTATCAGCGGCTGACGCATGGTCATTTTACTGTCTGTGATATCTTTCTGTTTAATGTACACTGCCAGCTTCATAGCTTTCTTAGCAGCTAATCAATACTGAATATGCAGCTTCAACAAGATACTCCATAGAAACTAATACAGAAAGTTAAGTTGGTTCCCAGTTAAAAGCTTTCATTCTTAAGCTGGCTGTTTGCATGACAAATGTTTTTTCCACTGCTAATGTTTGTATTATTGTTGACATTATGTTTGCCAACACTGTTACCTTGCCAGCAGGGCGGAGGCTGTATATATTTCCTTTATAAACTGTATTGGGTTTGGTATTTCCTTCATTTTAGATGTTGCTTCTGGGAGTACTCACTGGCTTGTCCAAAATTTGGGTCTGAAATTAATACTTCTTTAAATTTTAACTCATATACACTTCAGATTTCCATTTACATAAATATTTAGAAGTCTGTGTCAATGGGATGTCCAAAGGAGGAAGGGCATATACATGATGCAACCTCATCTTTCTTATGCTCCTTCTTCTCACAAGTTGAAAACATACGAGATCTAGAACTTTAAATACAAGTTTTCTGCTAGACTAAACTTGCCCTTTAAACATCAAAGAGAAGTTCATGGCAGCCTACTCACCTTGAAGCCTGTTGGACACCAGTCGACAAACTGGATGGTTCTCTTGGTCTTGATGGCAGCAATTGCGACATTGACATCCTTGGGAACCACGTCACCACGGTACAGCATGCAGCAGGCCATGTACTTGCCATGTCTTGGGTCACACTTCACCATCTGGTTGTTGGGCTCAAAGCAGGCACTGGTGATTTCAGCCACTGAGAGCTGCTCATGATGTGCTCTGTCAGAGGAGATGATGGGGGCATAGGTGACTAAAGGGAAGTGGATGCGCGGATAGGGCACCAGGTTTGTCTGGAACTCTGTCAGATCCACATTGAGGGCACCATCGAAGCGCAGTGAAGCCGTGATGGAGGAGACAATCTGGCTGATGAGGCGGTTGAGGTTGGTGTAGGTGGGACGCTCGATGTCCAGGTTTCGGCGGCAGATGTCGTAGATGGCTTCATTATCCACCATGAAGGCGCAATCCGAGTGCTCCAGGGTGGTATGTGTGGTCAGGATGGAATTGTAGGGCTCCACCACAGCGGTGGAGACCTGTGGGGCTGGGTAGATTGCAAACTCCAGTTTGGACTTCTTTCCATAATCCACAGAGAGTCGTTCCATTAGTAAGGAGGTAAAGCCAGACCCGGTACCTCCACCAAAGCTGTGGAAGATCAGGAACCCTTGCAGCCCAGAACAGGCATCAGTCTAGAAAGCAAAAGAGAAAAATAGGGGCTGAAAAAGAATGAAAAGACTTCATCTACTGTATGAGCTGGAGGAGAGAGCAGGCATCAGCAATATACAGCATAGATTTCATGGCATGTTTCCTTGAGAAAGGGCTCATGATAATCCCATCCTTTTTGTTCCTCACTCACTCAACTTCAGCCATAAAAATCAGACTCATCTACGGAGGTTCTCTTTCTGAACTTCATATTTCTCTTAGTTAGTCTGACTGAAACCAGCAATGTAGAACTGCCTAATTCTATACCAGTATTGGTGATCAAGGGCTGTGCTAACAATGAAGAATTACAAATTCAGAACCACTTTTTAATACTTGGAGGCATACAGCTGGGAACTGAACTACTGGGCTTCTCTCTCTTGGAACAGCAATGATGCATCATATGTCTTGCAATCTCTTCTCTAAACCATTGGTATCATTTGTAATTAACCAGGTACCTGTTCTGCATTTCTTTCTTCTGCAGAATCCAAGCTGGTGTTTCAAAACTACTGGGACTTACCAGCTTACGGACACGATCAAGCACCATATCAATGCTTTCTTTGCCAATGGTGTAGTGGCCACGGGCATAGTTATTAGCTGCATCTTCCTTTCCAGTGATCAGTTGTTCTGGATGAAAAAGTTCCCGGAAGGTCCCAGCCCGCACTTCATCTGAACAAGAAAAAGGAATTGTAAGATTTTCTCAGTATGTTGCATTCTGTTGATTTATGGTGTGACTTGTATCCAGCCACACAAATTGGTATCTTCTCATGAACTTGTCAGTTGTACAGCCTGTACCCGCAAGAGGACAAGTCACTAGGAAAAAAGTGTGAGAAGAATCAGGTCCCCCAGGGTGCCCCAATTTTTAGACATCTTTCTATTCGTGGGGGGTAAACTGTCAGGCTCCCACTCTGAATCTGGATCAAGGAAAAGCAGAATTCAAATGGCAAAAATGTCATGATAAATAAAACCTAAAGTTAAGTGTTTGTGCAAAGAGAAGTCACACAAACCATGTGCACTAGCTTTTAAGCTGCTGGGGATCCTGCTGATCCTATAACACCTATGGCAGAATCTGCCATTCTGTGTCACAAGAAAATTCATTTCATGCTATCTAGTGGTCTAGATAGAAAGGGAGTGCTGCTTTGTACCAGTGGAGACTGGTGGCACACTGTGGTGATGTTAGGAAGAGTAAGATCTTCTCCCTTTTGCAGGTTTATTTCCATACTGACCTACTACACTTGGTTCCAAGTCCACCATTACAGCCCGTGGCACATGCTTCCCAGTGCCTGTTTCATTGAAAAACGTAGTAAAAGAGTCATCATTGTTGAGTTTATCCTGCACATCCTTGAAGGTGCCATCTGGCTGAATGCCATGCTCCAGGCAGAAGAGTTCCCAGCACGCATTTCCTATCTGAACTCCAGCCTGGCCAACGTGAATAGAGATGCATTCACGCTAAGGGGAGAGAGCAGAGAGAGGCAGGGTCAGAAAAAGCAGTTACTTGTCACTGTCAACATTTCATTTCGTTGTTCAACCCTATGACCAGAATGAGACTGTAAATTTAAACACAGATGCTGGGACAGCTTTTTATAATATTGAGACCTATGTGCTGTAATATATGGGTACACGAAAACAGGTAGGAAAAAGGCATAATTTCCTCTACACAAACCTCACCTCTCCTACTATGGATTGGCCCCCAGTTCAGTTTATTTTTACTCCCGGCTGGAACCTGACACAGCCATGTGGTATCCTTCAACCTAATGTAACCCAAGACAGCTGCTGTGTTTTGATCCTTTTACCCTCTGATAGCAGGCTGGAGTAGAAACTTGGCGAACTGCTTTAAGAACATTTCACCTCAGGAAATTATCTCAGATTCTCTCTGCTGAAACACATGTTCCTTCAAGCTCCTGAACACCTATGTATTTTACATTGCAGGTCCATTGCTTATTCAGGCAATGCCATTGCAATAGGGTATGCTTATTTGCATAATTTTGAGCACAGTTTTTGTAGTAGCCAAGAACTTTAATGAAAAGAAGCCAATGTCTTTTAACACCAGGCTAGAGTTAGTCCTGATGATTACAACACTGGGTGTAGTGAAGGGTAGTTTTTTAAGGAGAGAGTGGTTTCAGATGGAGTTTTTCAGCTTCAGTTTCTGCTTTGGAGCAACTTTAATTAAAGTCTTCTGAGCTTCGCCTGTGTGATCTCAGTGGCTCTGTCTATATTAAGGAGTAAGAGTCAGGTGATAGTACTGAGCACTGGCCTGTGGTCACCTGTGTGACTGCTAATTAGCACACTCTCTGGCGCAGCTTTGGCTTATGACAGTTCATACTTTTCCAGACAATGCTTCAGCACTCCAGAATACATCTCATTGTCAAAAATGGTTTCCAGTGAGCAGCTCACTGACCACTGCCTAGCTTTGGAGAGGGAAAGAGAATTCAGATACCTAAATATGAAGCAGACCATGCTACCTGGCTTCGAGGACTGATAATGGTCCTCATTTGTTTTTGTTTTGCATTACCACATTGAGAGATATCCAGTGACTTAATATCAGATGCTTATCTTGCAAAATCATCCTGTGACCTGAGAGTGAATTGCATCTTCCCCCAAAACTAACTCCTCAGGCAGTATGTGTGACCAACAGCTTCTCTGGAGCAGTGTTTTCTTCACAGATTGCCACGTACTTGTTCTAGAAATGTAACTAAAGATATTTTTTTTTGGAAGCAAGTGGAATTTCAGAAGTCAGCACTGCCCCAGTTAGTCATCCTTGCAAGTTCAAATGAATATGGAAGGTCAACTTAAATATTCAATTAAATATATGATTTCTATCCAGTACTCATTTGTAAGTTGAAAGGAGATGACAAATGCATATGCAGCACTGTGTGTAATGTGCTCCTAAGTGTACTTGCACAACCCTGTTTTTCTCAGCTGAGTTGTGCAAAGTATCTGAGTTAAATTTGGGTGACAAGGCTTTACAGGCTGGTATGTTGCAGGGGAGCTGCAATCTGGAGGATTATGCAGGAGACACTGAAGGCATTTTTGGACTCTGAGAATTCAATTAATGCTGATTTTGCACAGGACAGGCTCCTTCTTTCCTTTCAAATCCCAGTGCGAGCCTGTGAAGCTGGCAGTAAGAACAAAAATTCCTTTTAAACACGGCAGTGAGGGCAGGTGACTGTTTTAAAGGATGTCTTTAAAAGAGCAAAACTACAAGTCAAGCAATACTTCAAAACTGAACAACTACTTTTCTCTGTTCCTCAGATCAATAGAGGAATTTACCTGTTTTTTCACAGATGGAACAAGAGAATGTTGCCTTAGAAAGTTAATATTGTAAAGCTTAGTATAGGGCTACAGCTGAGGACTGCAGAACCAGTTCTTTTCCTTTCAGACTGAGCTTGAAGAAGTGCTAGTTTGAGGCGGTATTTCATTCCTCCCTTTAGAGCCAGGCCTCTTGCCACGCTCCTGCCCAGCAGTAATTCGGAAATATTCAGACAAAGAGAGAAGACGGTAACAAAGGTGTTTCTCATTTTGCATAGTAAACAGCTTTAAAATAGACTTTTAGTAGGGAAGACAGTGGGCCTTCTTCAGAGTCACAGGCGGGGTAAACTGATCTCTACACGATATTTAAATTTGGAGCCCACTCTAAACTCATGCTTCACATCCCATCACTAATGTACCAGGATCTGTCTTACAAATTGTGAACTTGACTTTTTAGCTACCAAGAGAGAGCTGAAAGAAACTGTGAAACTATACCTGGGACAGCTTTGACTTTATTAAAAAAAACCCCAGAATACTACCCGTCTTAAGTATTTATGGTACAAAGGCAGACTTTAGTCTTCCAGCTATTCCCAAAACACACTCACTACCCTGGGTCTGCTTTAAGGCATGGGGAGGCTGTGGATCTGTGTATCTATCTTGCCTGTGAAATGCACGCTCTCATTTTGGACCTGCAGCTGTATTGGCAGAAATGACAGCCACTGGGGCTAAATTAATTTAAAACAGACAGAAAGATAAGTAATTTATTTTGTTTATTTCTAAAAAAAAATATTATAGGAAATGTGCTGATAAAATATAGCCATAGAATCATAGACTCATAGAATTACAGAACGGAAGGGTTGGAAGGAACCTTAAAGATCATCCAGTTCCAATCCCCCTGCCATAGGCAGGGACACCTTCCACTAGACCAGGTTGCTCAAAGCCCCGTCCAATGTGCCCTACTCATAACAGAAAGTATTGAAAAGCTAAGACTCCAGATCTAATTTGTCTTACAATTCCACTAAGTAGAGACTCTGAAGAAAACTTTGGTTCACCATGCCTTACAGCTCCAGTGAAATTCTCTAATACTTCTTTCCTACCCTCTTACATAGTAATCAGTGCATGAGTTTTAGGCACAGACTACTGATCAAGAACAGCAGATCCCCCTGCTTTCCTTTGCCCTCTGTCCTCATGGTCCCTGTATGGCTTCTGTTCCCACATCCCCCTTACCATGGTGTCACCAGTGGTGTTTCCTTCCCTTTCGGATCAGTGGTGGCCGGTCCTTGCAGAAGCCTGGCTGTGGGCTGCAAGAAGGAGGCAGCCTTGGCCCGGCATCCAGCACCTGCTGCTGTGCTTCAGTGTCACAGTGTGGTGCGGAATAGGTCACCCTCTGTACCACTGCCTCCTGCCCTCGCTGCACCCCACGTGTGCAAAGTCACCCAGACAGGCAGGGCTCTCATATACCCCAGATCTCAAATTCAGTCCCACCTGGTTCAGCGTGCTTACTGAATCTGAACATGGCGTGCTATACTTTCTAACACCTATTATGCATACATATCACCTACAACACTCATACCATTCCAGTTCCCTGTTCTGCCAGTATGTACATGTGTAGATGAAAATCACTCCAAAATTCCAATACAGGAGACTAAGAGGGCATAAGAGAGCAAATGAATGGAAAAGAGAAGGATAGAAGAAAAAAAACCCCAAATATAGAAAACCAGAAAGTAAATATAATTACCATTCTGAAGTGTCCTCTACTAGTGTGCTTTTAAATGCTGGGCTGACTTCTTTCTGTCTTTACTCCAGCTGCCTCTCTATTAATGTTTCAGTTTACTTGCATTGCTTCTCTTTTGGTGGACACTCATCTGGGATGTCAGCAGTATGAGACAGCATTCAGTACAGACTCTAGCTTGTCTGTCCAAACACAGAGAGAAATCTGATGCTTATTGCAGTGCGTATTGCAAGACATAGCTGGAGGTATCACACAAATGTTCTCACACCAAATTAGGGCAGTTGCCTCCTCCACTTTATTGTTTAACCCTTCTGCACTACCTCAGCATTGGAAAGCAGCTTCTCTCACTGGAGAAATCCTCATGTTTGCAGCTCCTAGGTAACAAAGAGGAAGGGGAGCACACTTAATTGCTTGAACCTGAGTATTGTGTATCCCCTGACTTTATAAACATACTGTTCATTATGATATTCAATTAGTAGGAATTTAAATACACAATTCCTAAACTTTAAGTTAGTCTGTTTTGACTTGATGATATTAATAGATTGTTCTGCCCCTAATGACAACCAGCATCTAAGTATCTTCCCTAACTAGCACCTACATTAATGCCTACTACTAGGTAGTTCACACTTAGCACCTAGGTATGAACTACCTAGTGTGAAGTCCTTCATACTGGTTTTTATAAACTCACATTTACTTTGGTATAGTCTTTATGTTGCTGATCTTTACACAAACCTGCAAATCACTCCTGTGATTTTGGGAAAAGCTACAGAGATTTCTGGAGCCACAATATTTTTACAGAGGAAGAATTCCTGTGATAATTTCTGTCTTGCTTTGCTTAAGCTGGGTCCCACGGTTCTCCAGCAAATTACTGGATCATTACTTTGCAGCTAAGAAACAGGTTGTTCTAGTGTTCTTCTTCCAGTGGAGCTGGTAACATTCCAGCCAAGCTCTGGCACCCTGGACAATCTGAAATGTTAATGCTCATGTGCAGAGAATCGTCTCAGGAAAAAAATCTCACAGGAAATACTTTGAGCAGTCCACCACTCCAATCTTCTTAGGCAGTCTTTGAATCAACATGTCAGATCTACTAGCTACAAAACCTAAATGAGGTCCGTGAATTACTAAATTATGTGCACCTTAGTCCAATGCTGCATTCTCTTCCATTGCCCCCCTCCTCTCTTCTGAAATAGGCAGTGAGAGCATCTCTGAGTGTCAGTGTTAATCATTCCTCTCCCCACTACACTCAAGCTCAACTGTCCCAGGACCCATAGACTCACCAGTGTTGGGTTGCCTCACTGAACAGTCTCACCAGTCAAAAACTTCCAGGGAGCAAGGAGTGATGGAGTCTTGAGTGACATCCCTGGCCAGTGGGAGTACATTGGCTTTGTCTCTTCCTAGAATCAGTTGAGCTTGAAAAGTCTGGGGATGACCCAGGTGACTATTTTTCCCTTTCTTACACATGAATAGCTAAGTTTAAGACCAAAGACCTGCTCTGTCTTCAGATAGCCCATGAACTCAAGCGCTGAAAATACGTGCTGGTCTCTGGTGAAGGTCAGATACAGGTGTAAAAGCCCTGGGGAAGACTTGGGCATACTGTTTTCCATTAGGTTTCCTTATGTTGCTCTGTCCACACATGTTGGGGAGTGCTTGGGCAGAAAACTCTCAGCCTAGATTTAGAGAGTAGTCTTAAAGCACAGTGTGGGACTGTGCTCCCACATACTGGTGAGTTTTGTTGTCTCCAGAGTGAGCCTCTGGGCTCTGCTCCACAGAGATATGAGGCAGATATGGTCTGACCCTGGATTCTTGGAAAAAAAGTCACCTTGCTTGGTGTAGGCATTCAACCTGCTGGGCAGATAGTGAGCTTGTAGGAAGATGTCTCTGTCCTGCATGGAACATGCCTGAGACATGCCCTGCATAGTGAGGGTTAATAGCCCAGCAGGCTGGTCAAGACCTGCCGACTTCAGCTTTTACCTGGCAACACTGGTAAATGATGATGAGAGCTAAATAAGGCTGATTATAAAAAAGCTCTGCCATGGAGTCCTGAGGTGTGCAAATAAGTGAATTTGGCATGAGTTTAGAGTGGCTTTGCTGGTACTACCAGAGGAACTTGTGAATAGCCCATGTTCCTGGGGCTGATGTGCAGCCTGCATGCAACTGGGATGGTCTAGACATTCTCAGAGGGCGTCTTATGTCCACATGGACTGGGTGCTGTGTCATAGGTGACCTCCAGAGCAATGCAACAGAGCAGAGGAGTTGAGAGTTATTCCCAATTATTTAAGATACTATCAAAATCAGCCTCTTAGAGGGATTAAAAAAACCCGAAAACTTAACATGTCCATACAAAACTTAAACCCTTTTTCTCCATTTAAAAATAGACACAGCTCTGAAAATAGCATGAAAATAGCATAATCTACAGTTTACAAGTACTCTTATCATGGTTTAACAGCAGCTGACAACTAAACTTCACCCAGCTGCTCACTCCCTCCCTCTGCATGGGGATAGGGGAGAGAACTGGACGAGTAAAGGTGAGAAAAGCCATGGGTTGAGATAAAGACAGCTTAAGAAGTAAAGCAAAAGCCATGCACACAAGCAAACCAAAGCAAGGAATACATTCACCACTTCCCATTAACAGGCAGGAATTCAGCCATCCCCAGCAAAGCAGGGCTCCATTGCTTCCTAAGTAACTGTAAGTATGATTACTTAGGATGACAAAATGCTGTAACTTCAAATGTCCCCTCCTTTGTTCTCCCCCCTAGTTTATACACTGAGCATGACACCATATGGTGTGGGATGTCCCTGGGTTCAGCTGGGGTCAGCTTTCCCAGCTATGTCCCATAGTGATTACGTGGGACATTCTGAAGACCAAGTTCCTCAAATAATATTCCAGTGACATGACTGTATCTTTGCATTGAATAAATGACAGTATAGATGACAGGGATTCTTTCAGGATACATTAGGAAAAAATATGAAGCCTGTCACTCTCTGAGGCAAAGTGACTAATGATTAGATGTTCCTACATCCCATGTTTACTGTCTTGTTATCTCACAGTGACCTCATCCATATTATAGTTTGCTAAGATGGCAGTGGACTTCGTGTGTGTGAAACAAGCATAAATGCAGCCACATGAAAAAAAGACAGAGAGCCAATCTCATGCACAGAAAAAGGCAGAGTGATTTTTAAGACTCCACTGCCTAATTTTCTTCAAGTCAGCCAGTTACCACTTCTTCATAATCCTTCTCCAGGGCAGACAGGTCTTCTCGGGCCTCTGCAAATTCTCCCTCCTCCATGCCTTCACTAACATACCAGTGCACAAAAGCTCTCTTGGCATACATCAGATCAAACTTGTGGTTGAGCCTGGCCCAAGCCTCTGCAATGGCTGTGGTGCTGCTCAGCATGCAGACTGCTCGCTCGACCTGGGCTAGGTCTCCTCCTGGTGTAACTGTAGGAGGCTGATAGTTGATCCCAACCTGCAAATAACAATCGAGATGTTATGAGAAAAGGGACAAAATGAAACAATAAGGGGGGAGGGAGGGGGAGGGGGAACTCTAAAACCATTAGTGGGGAGAGGAAATGAGGTAGGGAAAAAAACAGATCACCTCAGTGTTATAGTCTAATGTCATTTGAGCACCTTCTTTGTGCACAATGATTTGTGCGTATTGTGGAAGTATAAGGATTTGACATTCGTTACACTTACTCAGCAAATAAAAAAAAAGGAGGGGGGGGGGAAGCACCAACCAGAACTGGACTTTAAATGAAGTAAAACTTGTATGTCAGTATGCGTGGAAAAAATGAGGACAATGACGAAAATATCTCTTTGCACAGATGTCACAGAAATGCTTCACTTGCCAACAATATATTTATATTCTTGGTAACTTCTGGTCTGGGTTGAGGAGGTTTCTTTTGATTGGCTTGGCTTTTTAAATCTCATGAACAGACACCCTCAAGTGTCTGTGTCTTCAGAAGACGAGCCTTACCTTGATCTTTTTCTAAAATACCATTTCTTCAAGTCTTACACAGTTGACATGAAATGGCTTTAAACTGAAAGAGGGTAGATTTAGATTATATACTAGGAAGAAGTCCTCTACTGCGGGAGTGGTGAGGCACTGGAACAGGTTGATCAGAGAAGCTGTGGCTGCCCCATCCCTGACAGTGTTGGATAGGGCTTTGAGCAACCTCATCTAGTGGAAGGTGTCCCTGCCCGTGGCAGGGGAGGTGGAGCTAGATGATCTTAAGGTCCTTTCCAACCCTAACTATTCTATGATTCTATGACATGCTCCTGTTACTGAATACAAAAATAATGTATATGCTTTCATTTATTTAAATATATAGGAGTCTGAGTCAATGGGATATTCAAAGGAGGAAGGGCATATACATGATGCAACCTCATCTTTCTTATGCTCCTTCTTCTCACAAGTTGAAAACATACGAGATCTAGAACTTTAAATACAAGTTTTCTGCTAGACTAAACTTGCCCTTTAAACATCAAAGAGAAGTTCATGGCAGCCTACTCACCTTGAAGCCTGTTGGACACCAGTCGACAAACTGGATGGTTCTCTTGGTCTTGATGGCAGCAATTGCGACATTGACATCCTTGGGAACCACATCACCACGGTACAGCATGAAGCAGGCCATGTACTTGCCGTGCCTTGGGTCACACTTCACCATCTGGTTGTTGGGCTCAAAGCAGGCACTGGTGATTTCAGCCACTGAGAGCTGCTCATGATGTGCTCTGTCAGAGATGATGGGGGCATAGGTGACTAAAGGGAAGTGGATGCGCGGATAGGGCACCAGGTTTGTCTGGAGCTCTGTCAGATCCACATTGAGGGCACCATCGAAGCGCAGTGAAGCCGTGATAGAAGAGACCATCTGGCTGATGAGGCGGTTGAGGTTGGTGTACGTGGGACACTCAATATCCAGGTTTTGGTGGCAGATGTCGTAGATGGCTTCATTATCCACCATGAATGTGCAATCCGAGTGCTCCAGGGTGGTATGTGTGGTCAGGATGGAATTGTAGGGCTCTACCACAGCGGTGGAGACCTGTGGGGCTGGGTAGATTGCAAACTCCAGTTTGGACTTCTTTCCATATTCAATGGAGAGTCGTTCCATTAGTAAGGAGGTAAAGCCAGACCCGGTACCTCCACCAAAGCTGTGGAAGATCAGGAACCCTTGCAGCCCAGAACAGGCATCTGCCTGAAAGCCAAAAAGAAAAGTGAAAAAACGAGTTACATGTTTTCAAATCACCCCCTCAAACAGAGACAGCAACACCCACACCCAATGATAATGTTTGAGATTTTCCAGTTAAGTCTCCCATTCATAGGACAACTAAGACAGGACATCCAGGACCTGCATGCCTCTGTTCTGAGCCAGTGACAACAGTATAAAGAAAATGAGAGCCACTATTAAAAATTATCTTGCTTCTGAAGTAATAGTGCATACCGTCTTACGGATACGATCCAATACCATGTCAATTTTGTCTTTGCCAACAGAGTAGTGACCACGTGCATAATTATTTGCTGCATCTTCTTTTCCAGAGATAAGCTGTTCCGGATGGAAAAGCTGCCGGTAGGTGCCAGTCCGCACTTCATCTAAACAAGAGACAAAAATAATAAGCTTGGAAGAAATAATTCACCAGTGCTGATAACATTTGCAAAACAAAGGTAGTGGTTTATGTTGGCAGAAAATGGCATGGAAGGTCTGGATTTTGAAAAGCAAAGTACAGAGGTGAGGAGTATCATCTGAGATGTCAGTTTTGAAGAAAAAGAACCCAAAACCAAAAAGTGGACTCTGCTCCAAGTGTAAGTTGCTGTGTTATACCAATTAATTCATTTATCAAATGAGAGCTGTGCCATGCTGTGGTAAAATGTCAGCTCTGTATACTGATCAGATGAAGATCCATCAGAACCATCAGGGGAATGACTTTAAAAATAGGAGATTTCCAAGAGTAAAACAGTGTTTTCCCCTGGAGATCTGTCAGGACAATTCTCTTACACCCTCTCTTACACCTGAATGTGAGGAAAGCAATTTCCGTCAGTCAGCAAAGGAAAAATACCACTACAAAAAAAGACCAGAAGGGAACGTCTTTAAGAAAGCTAAGCTGTACTCATAACCCATGGAGGTTTAAATAATAGTAAACTTTTGATTTTATTATTGGTAGAGCACCTATGACAGAGTGCAGTCCAGTTTTCATCTTTTCATTGAGAATAACAGAGTTTTTAGTAATACTTAGGATTAAAATCTTAAAATCTGTACATTTTGCCTGCATGTTATGTTGTGATCATCGCTAATGGTAAGGGCATTATCTTGACATTCAGTGATCTGAACTTTGGCACCCAGAAGAGTTTATTAATTTCTATTTTCCAAGATTAGTTCTATACTGACCTATTACTGTTTGTTCCAAGTCCACCATAATAGCATGGGGCACATATTTTCCAGAGCTTGTCTCTCTGAAGAATGTGGCAAAAGAGTCATCATCACTGGGTTGATCGATGAAGGTGCCATTTGGCTGAATGCCATGCTCCAGACAGAAGAGTTCCCAGCAAGTATTGCCAATTTGAACTCCAGCTTGGCCAATGTGAATAGAGATGCACTCACGCTGAAAGGGGAGGACAGGGGAAGTGGTGAGAAGGACCAGTGAATATCCTAAGAGTCTACAAGTTAATCTTACCTGAAACCCCAAATCAACCAAGGGTTCCAAAATTTTCCACAAGAATGGAATTAATGTAAAACATTCTGACACAAATAGGAAGAAAAATATTTTGCTGTGAGGAAAAAGATGCAATAATCACAACAGTTAGAGATTTGCAGTAGATACACATGTGGTATACAGTACACAGAACCTACATGTAAGTGCACATAAGCCTACATAGGTAGAAAAACTGTATTAGGTACACAAAATCACAACAGTATATTCCATATTAGTATATTAGTTCCAGCTAAAAACAAGAGCCAAGTCCACTTGTCTGGGACAAGACCTAGCTATGCTACCTTACTGATATATAGATAAAGCAAAGAGAATGATGTATCTTCTGATCTCTCAACCTTCTGTCAAGCATGTGTGCCAGACAGTTGGAAAATAGGAAATTAAATGAACTAGAATTAAAGTGCCTTTAGCCTCTTCATTAATTTCAATCACTGATTTTTTCAGCCCATTCTCTGGCTACTTTTAATTCCATTTAACACGTGAAGAGTTAACTAGGTACTCAAAAGGATTTGGTACCCTTCACATGTTACACAAAATTAATCTCCTGAGAAATCCTTCTCAGACATACGCTTCTGTAATCATGGCTGTTCAGTCAGTAACCAGTTTCTAAAGTGTTTATTATGGTGTCATGCACATAGTTTAACAACAGAAATCTAAAACACAAAATGTTAAGATCACAATTCAAAAAAGACATTTGTTTCCTTCTGTAGATTGCTATGCAGTCTCACAGGTACTGTGAATTTAAAGGGTTCTCTCATAAACACTGTAGTTGGACACGGTATATTTGAGTATGAATTTTTTGGTGGGTTATTCCCATCCAGTCTTACAAGGTAAACATCCACATTTCTTAGCTCTTCATTTTAATACTCACAAACTAGTAGGCCATTACTACAGGGTTAAACATACTGTATTCAAAGTACATCCTGAGTAGCTTCTACTCAAGAAAACAATTTCCAACCGCATCCTTCTTTTTCTGCACAACTTCCCTTATACTGAATGCATTAACACAAATGTAGCTCAACATATCAGACTGTATTTACCAAGCAGCTAACAACTGTTTGTTTGTACACTGTGAGCGGTATTTGTTGCCCCCAAAATGAAGCAAAAAAAATGCATTTCAAGCTTCCCACTTTAACTCAGATCTTGACCAGAGTAGGGGGAAACAGGAGGCCAAACACAGTGCTCATTATCTCATAAAATAATTGGATTCTTTTTCTTACCATTGCTTCTCCCACACGCTTCCTTTCTTGATTGGTGGTAGCAGCAGCTTTGGTTACTGATGTTCCTCCTGTCGTGGAAGCAGCCTAGTACAAGATGACAGAATATCTACACCTCTCCGGCAGGGGCCCCTCTGCATCACAGCATAATAAGCAGAAGAGGTCATAATGTCTCCCAGGCAACCATCCCATTTCACACACTCTCCTGCTATGCCAGCAGCCTGCTTTCAACCATCAAGAATACAATACCACCCACCGAGAAATGAGTCTGACTCAGAAGACCTCGTGTCCTTCCGGGTAACTCCCAGTTACCCCCCACCCTGGGCATGATGTGCCGTGGTACGGAATACCTCTTTGGCTAGCCTGGGTCAGGCGCCCCGTCTCTGCTTCCTCCCGGCTTCTCCTCGTCCCTGGGAGAGCATGAGCCTCACAAAGTCCTTGGTCAGGGTAAACATTACTTAGCAACAACTGAAAACATCGGTATCACCAGCACTGTTCCCAGGCTGGAAGTCAAAACACAGCACTGCACCAGCTACAAGAAGGAGAAAAATTGACTGCTACTGCTAAACCCAGGACACCTTCCTTCAAACTCTAACAGCTGGCGAACATGCTGCTGAGAACTCATTTAAAACCATTTCAGAATTTCTTCATCTACACTTTCAAAAGGTGGCATCATTTTTAAATGGCATCTTTCTGACAAAGATGACTGTAAGTGAATGGTGGACTTGCCAAAGTTCTCCTGACTGAAATGACTTGGGGAACAGGTTGAATTGCAAGGGCTTCCACTTGACTATTTGATCATCTGTGAACAAAGTACATGAGATTATCTTCTTACCTCCTGGTGCTAAGTTACCAAGCCTCCTCTTTCTGCCAGCCATTCCTTATATTTGTGACCTCCATTTGTCTCCTTAAAGACAACTGTTCTTCAGCCTTTCAGCTGCCTACAACATGGGCCAATAAAAGTTCTTTGCATCTAGCAAGATGGCAAAACAAAAAAGCAGAACTGTAATTTGATCTTAGATGGGGAGTTACTAGCAGAAAGTTTACATACCCATGGTGTGCATACATATTTTCTCTGACAAAGCCTTAACAATAGGATCCCCATAGCTGTGTCTTTTCCCTCCATTATACAATGAGAGCACTGAGAAAAACATAGCTAAAGATGAATATCAGGTACTTTATTCTTGGTAGTATTGGTCTTGGTCATCCCACATGAAAAATGGGATATTGAAAAAAATATATATATGCTGGATCTTTCACATAAAGTAATTAGCACTCTGTGAACCCCTATGAAATGCAGACTTGCATGCTACCAACATCATCAGTTGAGGATGCTGGAGAGGAACTCTTCATCAGGGACTGTAGCAATAGGACAAGAGGTAATGGGTTTAAACTTAAACAGGGGAAGTTCAGGTTAGATATAAGGAAGAAGCTCTTTACTGTGAGGATGGCAAGGCACTGGCACAGGTGGCCCAAAGAAGGGGTGAATGCTCCATCCCTGGCAGTGTTCACGGCCAGGCTGCACAGAGCCTTGGGCAACATGGTCTAGTGTGAGGCACCCCTGCCCATGGCAGGGGGGTTGGAACTAGATATTCTTAAGGTCCTTTCCAACCTAAACCATTCTATAATTCTATGTTTGTGTCAGATTCCCACTGATCAAGTCTTCTACTTAATTCAAATACACCTGTACAATGAGGACACAGTGAAATATCTTCAAAAATTATCTGAAAAATGCAGAGAATCAATACATTAAAAAGTTTTCATATATTTAATCACAGCAACAAAGAGGTAAATCAGTAGTCACTTTATTGTGAGAATTAAATATTGCTGGTTTAATATTAATTGCAAAATTCTGCCTTCTTGCCCTCTCAGGAAGGACTAAATACAATACAAATGCTAAATCAGTAATACTCAAAGGAAGAGAAGGTTACCAGTCTACACTTAAAAATCAAATTGAATGTTTAAGTCCTGGTAAACAAATGGGTAAGACATTTAACAGCAGTCTGTAAACAACGTATGGCCTGCTCAGACCATTGGTCCCAACCTCCAAAATTGTACCTTTGACATATAACTTAAAATGTTAATAGAAAACAAGAGCAAAAAAATGGTTGTCACCTAAACAGTTTGGTCAGAATTTGGCCTGACTTCAGAGTGCAGTTTGCAGTTTCATTAACGGCTTTACAAAGGACATAAAGTGTGGCTTTGCAATGTGGGGGGCCACTAGACACAACTGAGTCAAGCTTGTTCAAGCAATTACTCCAGACAGATCTTCTGGGCTTTATTCTACCTGATTTCCTATCAAATGTTGGCTGCAGAGTAACCTGGCTGCAGTAACTACACTTATGGTTGGATTAAAAGAATCATTTAGCAATATCAAGAGCAGCTCTTTCCTATGCGAGCAGAGTTTGTAAGAAGTAACTTTAATGTGGTGAAGCATTATGTGCTACTTCTGGTGTGAAGTCCTAGCCGAGACAAAAGCTTTGGGGAGGGATATGGCATTATTGATGGATGGACGCATGGACAGACGGATGGGTAAGAAAAGAATGTTCTATGTCAAGCCTCCAATTTCTGCCTCAAATGGTTGGAAATGGCGGCAGTCAGTGACAGATCTACTGCAAAGATAGTAATCTTCTTGCTACAGATCTGGGGAATGTTTTGGGATCTCAGAGAAGTGTATGTTCCCACCTACTAATAAACTTTTATTCCAAATGATAGAGCATTGCTAAATGGCTGCCATGTAACCCAGGACTTCAGAAACTTAGGGTAGAGGGAGCAATTCTAGACACAGAGACCTTTTGACATATAGAAACAAAGCAAGAGGTAGGGAAAGAGTAAAACAGTGCTACAAATTCTGTTGTTCAACTAGATAATAATATATAGTTTAAAAAAATAAATCTATTTCCTTACCACAACTACATGCTCCTAAGAACTACTATGCATGAGGCAAGCATAAAGTGCTGTTATTTGCATTTAAGAAGAGCAGATACAGAACAGTCCTTGTGGTCCACCATCTTGGCTTTCTGGCTTAAATATAACTAAAATCAAGAGCGCCTGCGCAAGGAGGCATCAGTCACAAGAGAAAACATATGCAATAGGCTTCACTTTCTCCAGTGATTTTCTTCCACATGCTTGTCCTAAATCCCATGCTGCAGGAACTGGGCTTTTCAGGTGCCTCCAGGCAAAACAAAATATTCCCCTCCATTGCCTTCTACAGTCATGCCTCCAGGAACCTATTTCACTCATTCAGAGAACTGCCCAGCATTCCCAAGGATGAAAATTTCTTCTGTAGTTAATTTGCTACACAACCCTCACTCAAGAACTACATCCAAAGCAAAGTGTTTGAAAAGGAGGATTATTAGTCAGTTGTAGATTACAGAAGGAGTGGGCTCTGCCCTGGTGTTTGACAGACTGGTGCGAAGCAAAATGTCGAAGAGTTGTCGTGGTTTTAAGATCCACACATCACCATTCCCTGTCTGAAGAAATGAAGGTATAGCCACACAGGAGTTCACAAGTGGTCATCTCAATTAGGACACTGATTTCAACAGTCCTTGAAGAGCGAGCCTGATTACATCCTCAAGACAAGCTGATGCCTTTACAGAAGCAGAGAAAAACACATGTGATGCGATGACTTCTGTGATGGAAGACACCTAGTCTTGAATTGGAGGCCTGTGGATTGGAGAAAACACAGCTGCCCAAGCCTGTCGGAAGAGCTGGACCAGTTTGTAAATGAATGGCAGCGATGTAGGGGAAGCTGCAGAATAAAAGTGGCAAAAAAAGCCTTTCATTATAAAATGTAAAACTAAAATACACTACACATCTTAAGAGCTAATCCCAACTAGAATTAATGGAAACATAGATGTCTTACTACCTTCTGTTTGATTCTGTACCTGGGCCTTCACTCAAGGCACTGCTCCCAACCACAGCACGGTACTAGTAAGTTCCTAGTCATCCAATTTTTTTGTCTCCCAAAGACTAGACATTTACACAGACCAGACCTATTAAAGCAACTATTTTATTCTCTGTAACCATAATGGAATTTTAAAAATTTGAAATCTCAGTACTGTACCTGGATCTAATCTCACCACCACCAGATACAGCAGAAAAGTAGCCAAGAGCATCTTTTTGTAAGGAAATAAATAGAAATGACTTGACATGGACCTCAGTGCTCTACGCAGCAATGTCAACATGGTCAAGAGCTTTTGGGACAAAGCACCTAGAGTACAAGAACAAAAAGGCTCTTAGGACAAAGTACAGTAAAAAAAGTAATCACAGAGATACACATAACAAGAAACTAAAATACTAAAGTAAGACTCCTCTTAGTTTCATTGCTTATGAGTTGGCTTTTTTGCCTTTTTTATAATACGAAACAGAGAAACACTACTATTTTGTAATACAATTCATTATACCTTTTTTTTAGGCATTTGCTTTAGTATAATATGCTCTTATACCACAGCAGTATCAGCTTTGCTCCTGGCAGATAACATCAAGTGATTTACAGTTCTGGAGGGAAAGCAGTAGTTTAAATGCCAGACATGCATTGTTCTACATGGGCTCAACTATAAATGGACATATAGCAGAGTATGCAGAGCCAACAAAACATCCACCTAAAGGATTGCCAGGCAGTTTTAGTTTCTCTTAAAAAATAAAATCAAAAAATCTGAAGTAATTTTGAATCTGGAAAATAATTCTCATGTCTTGACACTGGTAGAGACTAAACACATTTTGTAATTTTCAGCAAATGGATCGCTAAGTCTTCTGTCTCCTTCTGTGGTAAACAACAGGACTTCCTCGTGCCTGGCTTCCCATGACAATATTCTTGATATATAGTTAATACCTTTTACCCTTTGACAAGGTAGCAACTAACTTGAAATAAAATAATTTAAAAAAAAAGCACAAGCAACAGCGGGAAAGCCTACCCAAAACAGTTTCTGTCGCTGCATCTTGCTGTTCTTCAGCAGCCAAGTGCATCTCTTCCTGTTGAGCCCACTGACATCGGCTTTCACAAATGGTCCCGAGAAATGCTAGCTGCTGCTGGCTATCAAAAACACCACAGCCACGTACAAGCTCCTCTGCTCCCTCAAACCTGCCAAGTGGAAGCAACACATGCAACAGATAGAGCTCCAGCAAGGAACCATACTCAGGGAGGCTCTTGTTGGTTTGGTCTGTCAGCCAGCTGCTGCCAACCTCCAGCATCACCTGGGGGTCTCTCACTTTGCTGTACAGCAGGATACTGAAACACAAGAAAGAAATGTTACACTAACTCTCTGTAAAAGCTGAGATTGCTGACAGTTACTATCTACAGGCAGCTATCATGAAGGCAAGTATTAGGGTCAACATTTAAACAACAGAAAGATTTCTGAGGTGGACAGGAAATGCAACCACTGATATTCCTTTCTCAGCATCACCCCTTTTGTACTTTATCATCACAAAGCAGCGTGCACATGTGTTCAGCACACGCAGGTCAAGAAGAGGCCTGACCCTGGTTTCCCTCTCATCCTCACACCCCACAAAATGAAAATATCACACCATATTCAAGTCTGGCCTGCTGTTAAACCTAGTGCAAACCCTGTGTGTATCCGACAGCCACAGACAGAAACTCACCACAGTTCCAGAACTTTTGGAGGCAGATGTTCAGGGACATGGTAATACTGTAGGACCCATGACAGAACTTCTCTCCACCGGTTCATCTCAGCCAGCGCCTGAATCCCCACAACACAGAGGGAGCATTTCACTTCTGCAGAACTGGTAATGAAGAGATACCCAAATAAGCACTTCTGACAACCCCTTGCATCCCTTCCAGCGAGCTGCAGCCTAGCCTAGGTACTTTACAGTTCTCTGGCAGCCGCTTCCCATCCTTTCCACCTCCTTACCTTGGATGAAAAGGCAAACCCCCTGAGAAGACACACTGACTCTGTATCATAGAATCAACTAGGTTGAAAAACACATTTAAGATCAAGTCCAACTGCCATTACACCTCATCCCTGAGGGCCTCATTCACACGGTTTCTAAACACTTCCAGGGACAGTGACTCCACCACTTCCCTGTGCAGCCTGTTCCAGTACCAGATCACCCTTTGGGTGAAGAAATTTTTCCCGATATCCAGTCTAAACCTCCCCTGGTGCAGCTTGAGGCCATTTCCTCTTGTCCTACCACCTGTGACTTGGGAACAGAGATCAGCCTCCTCCCAGCTCTACCCTCCTGTCAGGCAGTTGTAGAGATTGACAAGGTCCCCCCTGAGCCTTCTCTTCTCCAGACTAAACACCCCAGTTCTCTCAGCCGCTCCTCATCACACTTGTGCTCCAGACCCTTCACCAGTTTTGTTGCCCTTCTCTGGACCCACTCCAGCACCTCAATGTCTCTCTTGTAGTGAGGGGCCAACTCAGGAGGCCGCTCATTACAAGAGATCTCTAGGAGGACTTGGGAAAGCACACCTTGCTTTTCTCAAACACACACACAGAACCCTTCACATGAAACACATAAATACAGACGGGCCATGAGCAAACAGCCACCAAAGCCAAGCCGGGTTTTAACTGGTCACTAATTCATATTTTAGCAACAGTGCCGCCCTCTGTTAATCTAGGTAACTAAAACAAAGTTAAGCAAAACCACAGCAAGGACCATAGCTATTATTGCCATTCATACAGATATTCGAACCGACGAGGTTCCTAACCCCCGACAAAACAAACAAGCAAACAAAAAAAAGCTTATAAAACCCCAAAGGTCCTCTATGAATAAAAATAAACCCACAAGCAGGGCAGACGCGGCCTGCAGTCAGCGGCCAGCCTGACACTGGTGCTACACCGAGCCACTTCCGGTGCTGCAAGTGGCCCTGTCCCCGCTCGCAGGCCCGGCGGTCGCTCGCACCTCTCGGGGCCGGTCCCGGGGCCCAAGCTGTCGCAGCCCGCTTCACACCTCTCCACAGCTGCGGCGAAGTCCCGGTGCAACACCAGCAGGTCTGTCGCCTCCTCCAGCAGCGAGGCCGCCTGCGCCAGAGGCTCGCTCCTCATGGTGGCGGTGGGAGGGCTACCGGGAGGGCTGCGGCTCCCACAGAGCCCCTCCGCGCCTCGTCCCCCGCCCGCCTCCGGATCCACCGCTGCCGTCCCCTGGGCTTAGCTCAGCTCCACTCAGGCAGGAACAGCAGCTCCGCGCCAGCTCCAGAACCAGCACCAGCCCGTAAGGCGACCGCTTCCGCACTGCCTCCTGGCGGCAGAAGGACCGCCCCACGGGCATCTTGTCCTCGCCCCGCGGGCTGGCGGGACATGTAGTCCATCCGTGGTGAGGGAGAGGCGGCCAGCAGTTGTCGCTGCGAGCATCAGTGGCTTAAAAGCGGGGTTTAGCAAGAGAAGCCGCGACCGCAGATTATGGGGTCATGGTGCCGGGATGGGCGTCGGTACCGGTCTCCCCTAAACCCCCTTCAGTTTCTCACTCGTGTGGCTGGCTACCAAGGGGACGCGGCCAAGCTAGCGCTCTCCGCCTCGCCTCCGTTAAGCGGGGGGACCACGGCCGCAGCGGCAGCTGTCCTCCCCGCGGCCGCCGGGCGTCAGCCTAGCCCCAGCAGCAGGGCTCGGCAGAGGCTCCGGCGTGAGGCAGTGCGGCCGGATCAGCAAGAGAAAGGGTTTGGCGTGGGTACTAAAGACTCCCGGACCCTCTCCTCTTCTGGCCTACTTTTCCTCAGTCGCCCCGTGCGCGCTGTTTTAATCTGTTAAAGGAACTGGAGCTCGGGCACAGTAACATTGTCTCCATCAGCACCCTGAAGGCAACGATTCACATTCTTCTGTTATTATTAAAAAAACAATAAGGTATCTTGGTTACAAGGTAATTACGGCAGTCGGTGCAAACTCCCTTCAAAAGTTAATCTCTACAAGACAGGCAAGATTGATTTATTTTGTCATGCTGACTCCCTACTATACATATTTATTAAAATAAAAAATCAAGCTAATGCAGAACATGTTGAAAAGTGGAGCACATCTTTTCAATGGGAGTTTCCATGCTACTGCAGCACTGGAAGGAGGGAATAAAGTGTGGGGAGCACAATTAAAAGCTTGATAACTCTCATTCTCATTCCAGGATGCAGGACTGCGTACCTGCCCCTCATGGTAGCAGCAGCAGCACTCTGCAGCAGCAGCATTTGCTCAGTGGTGCATCCCAGGGGTTTGCATGCTGCCATTATCTGCAGAATAAATTCCCCAGGGATTCAGGCTGATAAAGGAGAAACCACAGCACAGAAACATTATAAAAGGAAGGGTGCAGCAGATAAGTGAAAGCAGAGGTAAAGGCGTTTCAGACTTCTGTTTCTGTTGCTTGGCGCCTGCAACTTGGAAAACAACATTCCTTTTTGGGAACTACAAGTCCCAAAGTGCACTGTGGGAAGAACATGCCTCGTACCAGCTAGCGCCCAGCACAAATTCCCAAATATGGATAAGGAATCAATTTTGAAAAAGGCTCATGCTGGCTGGATTCTCCCCACTGAGATTCAGGAAAGGAGCAACACAGCACAAACCCAAGGTAAGTTTGTGATGAGCAAAGATATTATCCAGGCATCTCTTTGATGGGGAGCAGCAAAGAATATTCCTCCCTTAGAAGGGCAGTGCAGTCTTGCACTGGTGATGTTGGAACTGGCTGCTGTGGGGTGATGGAGGTGCCTTTGGCTGTTGTTTCAGGTGGGTAAGGGAGCAGCAGGAGCAGCTGTGCTGTAGAGTGAGTCAGATCCTGTTTTCCTGAAGATGTTCTTTATTAATAAAGACCTATGGAAATATCTATGAGCTGCAACACTTAGTGCAGTTGCGTTAGAGGCAAGGAATAGTTGGGGAGAGGTAGGCACTGCTCTAAACAGAAGATATGTATGAATTGTAGTGTGGTTGTTTAAGAAGCCAAGGTTGTTTAAGCAGCCTTGTAATGACCATAATTATAGGTAAAGTTAGTTTCTCTGTAAGGCACAGTAGAATGTTTTTGTACTGCGCCTCTCTTCCTAGAGGGGACAGTGTGGTGCCTGGAAGGCCAAACCTCTTGCAGCTCTCTGACCTGCAAATAGTAACTCAGTAACAGGATTGTTTAACTAGAGGCCAGGAGCAATTACCTGTTTCACTGGCAATTTGTTAACGAGCAAAATTAAATCATCCCGAAGTAGAATCATCTTAATGGAGATCAGAGATGCTCTAGCTCCACACTCCGGCATGCATGAAGCTTTGGATGTTGACCTGATTGTGGGTAGCATCAGCTCCTGCCTCTGTTTCTCTACACGGCAGTTGGGCATACTCATGGTGCAGTTCGGAGGCAGCGTGTGGATTCTCTTGTGTCGGGTGACGTCAATTGCAGCTGGTCAGCCTGATCCATCATCCCAGCACCCTCCTTCTACTATGTAGGGTCATGGAGCAGCACAGTCACCACAGCACAGTGAATGCAGGAGGTGCAGTCCTGCACTGGAGATCCTCCTGAGGCTGTTTGGGCCAGGTAAACAAAGTGTGACATTGGACACTCATCAGCAAATAAGAATGATGCTGGTTTTCCATCTTTCCTTAAATGTGAATGGCTTAAACTGTTTTTAAAGCTGAAAGGGTCACTCTTGTACCTGAATTAGCCTACACAGCAGGACTCTACTGCTGGAGCAAATCAGTGTGTTTGTCTGCGCTCCTGGATAACAACTTCTAGTAACCAGAAAGTTACTAGAGCAAAGTCAAGCAAACTTGCTGGCAGTGACGGGTAGTAAGAGGGAGCATCGCAGAGGATTTTGTGTCCTGGGTGGGATGTTGGTGCACAGCTTCTTGCCTTTAATCTGAAATCAAGGGTATTTTTGTATAGGAAAAGTAAGTTTCAGAGGAGCCTTGTTTGTGTCTGCATCAGCTGTGGATTCACAGGTTCCCCTCCTCCCTCTCCTGCCAGGCAGTTTGAGAGGAGTTTAGAGTCACAGGCACCTATAACAACACCTTCTGAGGTAAATCGCCTCAAGCATTAATCCAGATCTGACCAGCACACGGTCAGGTCACAGGGCCAGAGGGCTGGCAGTCAGTCTTTTCTGTGGTTTCTTCTGTGTCAGTAGGCTGTTAATATGAGATTAGCAGCATTAGAGAGACTTTGAGCTAGGAACAGTGGGGCCCTATGATTTGACTTGAAGAGAAAGAAACCTCCTTACACCCATATAAAAATAAACAGAAGAGCTGGAAATTATAAAAGGCATTATAAACACAACTGAGGAAAGGATAGCTTCTAGGAAAGATGTGGAGCTTTGTAGTATATCATAGCTTAACAACAACCCTCTAATAAAGCAATGGGGTCCGTGGAGGCTGCAGGTTGTAGTGTGCAGCACTCCGTCCTTATCCCCATGTACTTTTCTTTGGGTCTGGAGGGATCATGACATGTCAGAATCTGTAATTTGGTTGTAATTTCCATCAGCAGTACATCCCTATTAAACACAAAGATAGCTGGCTGCAGACCCCTTCAGTTAAGAGCAGGGCTCCCCGAGCTCCTGGCAGGAAGTTTTCAGAACCCTCCATTGGGTGAAGTGAACGCTTTCAGGCTGTGCATTGAACAGATGGCTGATGGTGATACTCTGCTTTCTTATCTCAGCAAGTGTGGTGGCATAGAATCAAATCTATTTTGATGTTTCAAAAATAGAACAAGTAAGAGGTGACTCGCCTGATTTTGAGACCACCTGCTGATGTTCCCAGTTAACTGCATTTAAAAGCAGTTGCCTCTTATTTTGGCCGCATGAAAACCCATATAAACAACAGGTGAAGGTGGTAGAAGGTAAAAAAAAGCAACTACAGGGGTAGTCACTTCCACAGTTGAACTGAGGGATGGATAACACATACCATAAAAGCATGAGCAAATCCCTGTTTTAATCTTCCTCACAGGCACACAAACACTCTATAAGGTGTTAACAGTGGAAATGGGGAAACTGGAAACATGGAGTTTTTCACAACTTTTTGAAACTTGAGTTTTACTCAAAAAACAGTGAAAGCTTTCTGTAACAAAGGGTGATTCTAAGTTGATTAAGACTCTTTGCTCCATATCAAACAAAATACCAGCCTTGGCAAAGCAGCAGTCAAAGAATAACAGCTGTTACTTCTGATTCCATTGTTACTGTTATAATAGCAATAATTAGTGCTGGGTGGGGCATTTCATAGCTTTAAGGTGACCAATTTGATTAAAGGCCTAAGGCATCTTCTTTTCTGTGAGAAAATACTAAAGCCTGTCATCACTATAGATCAACTAAGTCCTGTTTGCCTAGCACAGCATCTCTTTGCTCACTGCTTTAGTTGTAAACTCTTCTAGTAGTTAACACCTCTTGTCAGAGCCCCACCTGCTGAAATCAGTTGCTATCCATTAATCTCCTCTGTTCCTCTTTTTCAAAAGCAAACCTTGTGCTGTCATGGTTGGAAGTGCTTCACAGTGTGAATCCTGGAAGTATTTGTACCATGAAGCAGATGAAGTGATTTGAGAAAATATGTTTCTTCTTTGTAACCTAGTTTCCTGACTTCTCAGTGCTGCTTTATTCAGTGTTTGTCAGACATCTATCCCTCATTTTGAATGCATGTTTACAGCAATCTGCTGTTAGTTACCACTGCAGATAGTTGATGTGTATTCTGCATCTGGAATTGGAAATCACAGAAGGTGTCACAGAAGTTAAATCTTTTGCATCTTAGCCTGCTGGTCCTGGTTCTTGTGATGCTCGCTAAAGCTGTGATGAGAGCTTGTGTTAGGAAAGCCAGCAGCATCACAGAGTTTCATGGTAGTGCTGTCTGAGCCTCAGAAGACTTGCTGGGAAGGGGTTGTTCACTAATGTCTTTGTGTCTTGTTTTCATGGTGAGCGTACCCCTGTGTCTCCACTGGCTGGTGGTCTGTGGTGGGCAGGACTCCCCTTCTTGCCATTTTGCTCGAGAACTTGTTATAGTAATTAAGAAGCTACTGCTTTTATTTATTAATTTGCCTCTGAGCTTTCTGTAGTCAATGAAAGTGCAGCACCTCTCTTCTGGGGACGATTCCTCCCATTCCTTTGAAGATCTGTGTGGCATTTATGGTCATCTTGGTTTGAGAGGCATGCTTACAGTTTGTGCGAAATTCATGTCTCGAGCAGCGTATTAGCCTCCAAGCTGT